AATTAGTACTATTTAGTATATTTACGTGAAAATCATTACTGCGTCAATTTTTCAATTACAGTAGTGTTGATTGTCATGTTCAGGTATAAAGTTTAATAATGCTAGAGTACCGTTATACTGTACTAGGAATGTTACTGGTTTCTCCGATGAATTATTTAGTATTATGACAATCAAGATTATAGTTCATGTCAAGTTCAGATATAATCAGCTACAATATCAGAGAAGAGTGAAATGTGCCCATATTCTATTTTATTCATCTAGCATTGTTTTGCAGTGGTTTTTATTATATATAGCTTTTATAATTTTTATTCTTTCATTGCAGGTACAGAAAGGCTTGAAAGCATTATACAACACAATCGAACAGCATCTATCCACGGAAACGAACTTGCTGCAGGTGGTTTGGCATAACATGCAAGAGGAATTTATTCACCAATATGAACATAATGAACAGCTGATCGCCACGTGCTATGCCAACTCTGATCTACAGCTCGAATTTTCAGTGGACGATTTGCTTCGGTATTTTAGTGAAATTGCTCTACAGCACTGAGGGTCGAACTCGGACAAATCATCCTGCATCCTGCGGTAGAGCACCAACCACGACTGCAAGTTTCTCTTGGATGCTAAACTGCCGCTTGTACAACATCCGCTACCACGTAGGGGCCGTGTTTGCTAGACGCCTCATTCTGCGCGTGTTTCTGTCCTGATCACGTATCTTCTTCTCCATTTCAGCGTCTGTGAGCGTTTCCAGAAATGGTCCCCATTGCTCTGCTTCATTCGGATTTCGAAACGGACATTCTACTTCCGGCAATGGCGATTCACTATAATTATATTTTGTCTTGTTAGAAACGAAATAATAAACGTCATTACCTGAACGCATACGTCCTCTGGTGCCATGAAAGCTGTCCTCGAATACTATATGCGATTGTAGGAACGAATTCACCTCCGAGGCCGAGGTCAGTGCATAGCTTCATTGCGAATTGTTCCGGACTGTTTTCTTGTTGTGACATGTCCCACTCGAACTGATCGACTAGCGACAAGTTTCCAACGTGAACATTCAACTAAACGTTTAATATTGAGGTTTATGAGATTTTTTGATATTGGTATTTCGCTATAATTTGTTAGGAGTAGACGGCATGATGATTCATGGCTTTCTACGAATTAAACCAACGGTGGCTTCCAATTATACTGTTGTGGAGCAATAAGTAAGTCAAAATATATAATACAGGGAACCCCATTCAGTAAATAAGTCTTACGCTTATACAAAAGCAACACACACTTTCAAAATAGCCCGCTGATCTGGCTGTTCCGCAAACAGGTTATCGGAGGGAAATGCGTCCAGCTGTTGTCTGATGCTCTGAGAAATTGCAGGTACGAACGTCACGGGCGGCAGATCCAGGTCATCACACAGCACCTCGGCGAAAATCTCTGGGGTGATCAACATCTCTACCAAATCAACAGCAGATCAAGTAAGACATATGCAATAATAGTTTGATTCACATAAATTTACAATTAAATTTGTCACAGTGATGAAAGCAAAATTTAACTCAAACAATTAAGGACCTTTTCATCTTTACGTACAAGAAATTCATTCTGAAATATCCCTATAACCAATAAAATGATACAAGGTGTGACGATTTTCTACAACCGCTAAAATACAATGTCTGGTCGTAATGTCATCTAACATATATAAAGAAATAAGCTAAATAACAAACCGACGATAAAGATGACGAACATATGCTACGAGGACTGTGCAGGCTTTCGTCTACTTCAGGTAAGAATTTCTACTGGCAAAGCCTAAAGGCGAGATGAAAGTCAAACGCATCAATTCACTTTTGCCCGAAAAATAAATTTCGCCGCCGACAGTTAGGAAATCAATCAAGTGTTTTCGTTACAGTCTACATGCGGAGCAAAAACAAAAACCGTGAAGACCAAGGAATGAATCCCGTGCGCATAGGAAGGTGTTTAATTTCCAAGTTTCACAACCAAATACCAGAAAGCATTCAGTTAGACATCTAAAAAATGGGAGGTAAACTGCTCCAGATTTCGCCCTAATACGCGCGACTCACCAACTTGACATGCACGGCTTTTGCCGATCTAAATGCAGATTCAACTATGGTTTTGCATTCCCTCAATCCGAAGTGAACCATTTAAACAATCAAATTAAAAAAAACAATCTTTGAATATCATAACCAGTACCTACATCCACTGAAAACTTTGAAGAACACCTACCACCTTTGATTCAAGATGATTCCAAAATGAATATTCAGTGCGCATGAATAAAAACATAATCGATGTACTTTGATTATGATGCTTAGAAAGTTGGCGGAAGGAGAAATTCCCATAAGGCTCTCGATAAGAATCAACACAGCCGTTGCAACAATTGTCCAACCAGAAATCTTAATCAAGTAAGTCTAATCCCAAAAAAATTTGCTTTAAACACCTGAGTAAATCAGACACTATCGATTTCTTCCGGTTCGTTAGTAGTGAATTAAACATTAAAATATAATTACCGTTTTTGTTCCAAGTAAAACAGTCCCTGAGCTTAATGCCGTCGATTTCCATGTCCAAGCGAATTGGAACATATACGTCTGGCTGATTCGCGTTCTCATTTATGGCGTTCATGTCCGTATCATCGAAACTAAATCA